ACTCAGTACTACAGTACATGTACGATTATTGACTTGAACGTTTTCTTAAATCCAACTTTTTTTTTGGTTAAATAAATTTATTTCAAAAGAAACTTTGTATCAATATCATAAATGAAAGCCACTATTCCTCAGCATAAAAATAGGCAAGACATAAATGCAGCCAAAGATACTCTATTATCATTAAATTGAAATGGCATATTCACTGTATACCACCTAAAATAATCTTGCAACCAAAAGCTGCAATAATAATATTAAGTGAAAAACTTTGAGAGTTTTAAATCTCCTAAGATTCATAAATACTGTAATGGGTCTTGACACAGAAGTTAGACATAAATAATATGATTAGTACACTTAATTATTCCTCAATAATTTATATACTTAGTGGAAAATATGATACATAGTGTAAATTTCTGGTTAACAATTTTTCCCTCTCCATCTTAAGTTTATAGGACAGTTCTCTATTATAATGTCTAGAGTATTTTACTATAAATATAGGAATCCAGTAATGCCTTTGAACATTAATTTTTTCTGCATTTGATGTTGTTATTTCCTTAGTTTTGCAGTACTGGGGAATGAATCCAGGATCTTCAACTTGAGTTACCTCCTCAACAACCCTTTTTATTTTTTATTTTGAAGCAGAGACTCACTAATGCTCAGGCTGGGCTCAAACTCTCAATCCTCCTGCCTCAACCTTCTAGAATACTGGGATTACAGGCATGCACCGCCATACCTGACTATTTACTTAACATTTCTAGATTGTGGGTTTTCTGGAAAACAAATATTACTGAACCAACTTGTTTGGGCCCAATGTTATAAACTGTTTCTCTTTCTTGTTCTAGAACACATTTTATGCTGAAATTTCTTGCAAAAAACCCCAACACCCTTCAAATCAATGACAAAAAATTCCTCTCCCACCCCTGCCCAGAACATACATACAATTTGAAGAACATACGTATAATAAGTTGCCCTTGAATAAACCCAAGTCTGAGTTATGCAGGCTTTTGGAAATATATCAACTGCGGATGATTTCATGATTGTCATTTGAAACTATGGTGGGTAGGAGTAAGATTTTCAGAAAGGAATCAACAGCCTTGCTGCCAGTCATCTTGGGGAAAGGGCTATGAAGTAAGGTGGGGCAGAATTCAGGTCAGGGCTATGTGGAAAGAGCAGCATTGGATACAGGTGAGACTGAAAGGTCAATGTAAACCATTTGAGTGGGATGGTCCTTAAGGATGTGAATGGATCAGGCAACCTACAGGACGAAAGAAAACATGTGCAAGTCATATCTCTGTTACAGTGTTAATAGTTAGACTATATGGACACTACCTACAGTTCAATAACAGCTCAGAACCTGATTAAAAATAAGCCAAGAACTTAAACAGATGTTTCTCCCAGGATATACAAATACCCAACAAATGCATGAAGAAATGCTTAGGATTACTAATTGCCAGAGACCTAAAAAGCAGAACCAAAATGAAATATTACTTCAAACCGATTAGGATGGTGTCTTAGTTACTTTCTCATGGCTGGGACAAAATATTGGACACCCATAGGTTGAAGGAAGAAAGATTTACTTCAGCTCACATTTTGTAGAGATTTCAGTCCATACTTGGCTGAATATAAGGTAGGGCCGCATGGCAAAGGGGTGTGGCAGAGGAGAAACAGTCCACGGCAGGGTAGGCAGGAAGCAGCAAGCCTCCCTTTCCCTTTTGTCCCACCCAGGATACAAGCCTATTGGACGGTGCCATTCATATCCAGAACTATGCTAAACCAATCAGTGGACTAATTTAGTAATTATACTCCCTTAAGCCATATTCACACACCCTAGCTACAGTTAGCTCTGAAAAGCCCCACCTCATGAGCACATGAGGCTTGGGGAGAGCATCTAGATACAAGCCTTAACAGATGGCTACTGTGAAAATGAACAAACCTAAAGCCACAGGTGTGGGTACAAATGTGGAAAAACTGAAACCCTGTGTGCTGTGGTGCGAATATAAAATGGTGCAGCTGCTGAGGTGGTGGACAGCTGGATTTCAGAATGTGTGGCAGTCAGACAGCTTATTTCCCTCCCCTTGGAGTCAGGGCTGGGTGGTCCTGTCTGCACCTCCCATTCATTGTTAGATGATTTGGCAAACTGTCTTGGCTTAGAAGATTTCCCTGGGATTTGGGGTTTATATGTCCCTGGTGATGATACTTTCCCCTGAACTTGTCTGAATTATTGCAACTGGTCCCTGATGGTTCCTTTCACCCTAGATGAAATGCAGCCTACAGGATGCTGGCAGGTCCTTCTGACTAAATAGAAGCTTTGTCTTCCTCTTGTTTCAGGTTTACATCCAAGGTTCTCTACGATATGGTTCTGACTTTCTTTCCTCTGTTTTGCATCCAGCTGCTGACTGAACACACACATTGCTCCCAGGACTCAGCCCCTCTTTCTGGTTTTTTCCTTGCCTTTGGCATTTCCCCTTCCTGGAAAACCTTCTCTCATTTGTATCCATCCTTCAAGGTTGAGCTCAACCTGGACCTCTTGCCTGTGTCCTGCTTTGGGGAACCTCATCATTGCCTCCCCGGCAGTGATCAGTGATCCTTGTGTATATATGACTGTTTCTCAGCTAGGTCCAGGCGGCTCCTTTTTACATTCCTGCATATCTTGTCATGATTTCAGGCTTGGCCCTGGAGTGACAATGGGGAAAATACAGGTAACATGAGCAGCCAGCCACAGCTCTGGCTGAGGTGTCGCGGGGAGCGACAAACCTCCAGAGAGGACATGGCATTGTCAGGAGGAGTGGCGCTGAAGGACGCTGCTCCTCTGCCCAGCAGTGGTTGCTAGGAGAGAACATGCCCAGTTCTGCTGAAGCCTGCAATTCCCCAAGAGAAGCCACTGAGTGGTCACCTGGTCTCCAGTGTGACCGTGTTGACACCCTGGCCTGCTCCACCCCGCCCCCATTTGTGGTTGATTGAACAACTGTGATTGAATAGTTCATAAATGAAAACTAGCTCACACCACTCTGCAGTGTTAACCGCTGCTTTATCGATACACTTTTCGCCCAAATGTCTCAATTTGATAGCAGCGGTGGGCATAGTGCGTGAGATGCTTATTCCAGATCCGGCCTCATTCTAGGTACTTTAGATTAGTGTGCTCCTTTCTCCATCCTAACTGCCTGTGAAGCGGGCACTGCTGCATTCCCTGCAGGGTGACGTGGCTGGCACCTGGGGTCTGATGCTACAGCCCACTTGCTTTGCTGCCATAGCAGGACAACATTTTTCAAGATTCTGCAGTGGCTCTTTCCAGATGGCTCTCAGGCTTCCCTCAGAGTACCTTGGGATGAGGCTAGGAATGAGGCAGAGATGAGGCTGAGGCATGGAGACACCCCAGGAGCCCAGGCAGCACGTGAGCCATCTTTCTTGTGCTCCATGTCTGTGACTGTGCCGGTGCTGCCCGAGCTGGTTCTTCTGAGTCTGCCGCTGCTGAGAGGGACTTAGCCACGTGGAACCGTCAGGCTTGCTCACACATGCCAGCAAGCAGGGACCTGAAGATGGAGTCGGGCAGGGCAAGGTGAGCACAATTAAGTCCCATTAGAGGGTCTCCTGGGCTGGCTGAAGTGACTGGAAAGTGATAAGAATTAATTCCTTTTCCTGGAGAGGAAAACACAGGCCTGGGGACTGCTGTTGTCCCAGAGGCAAATGGTCCGTGAGACAAACACAGCTGAGCCCCATCCACCGCCTCATATCAGATGGGACAGGATTGTTCCCTTGATCATTTTGACTTTGGGGAAGAGGCAGAAAGATAGATCTGGTGAATAAGGTGCGCGAAGACACACCACGATGACTTGATGCATATTTGCAGAAATTGCTCTAACGTGTTGAGTTGATTCAGGACAACAGGCAGCCATGACAGCACAACTAATGACACTCATGAAAGAGCCCTTCCAGACCTGCTCCAGAAAGTGGCAGGAAGGATGGCATGAGTGTGTTTGAAGAGGGAGGCCTATTTAGAGGGGGATTCATGGCACTGTCTGTGTCTTTTATTATAATATGTTTTTTTAAAAATTTAAACATTTACTGTATCTTTTAATCACATCACATATTCGCAGGACTTTGAAACTGTGTTAACAAATTGATGTGCATATGATATCATCTATAACCCCAGATGGTGTCATGCTGTACAGATTTTCTCTAACCTCCTCTTTTATGGAAATTCATCTGTTAACGCAGGCAGACACAGATCATTCTTTGTTGTTGTGCTGCTGGTGGTGAAACAGGCATAAAGTTTATCATTTTAACCGTACAATTCAGTGGGATTAAGCACATTCTCATGGCTGTGCATCTATCACCACCATCCGTCCCTAGGGCTGTCATCGTCCCAGACTGCAACTGTGCCCAGTAAACATGAATGCACCCCACTCTCTCCCCGCCCCCTGCTTCTGGTACCTGTCCTTTGCCCTCCTGTCTATGAACTCAACTACTCTAGGAACCTCAGATCAGCGGAATCCACGGCATCTGTCTTTTTGTGACTGCTCTACCATAGTGTCCTCGAGTTTCATCCATATGTAGGGGGTGTCAGCATCTCCTCCCTTTTTCGGGCTGAACAGCATTTCATTGTGCCGTACTAAGGGCCCCATTTTGCTTACCCATTCATCTGTTGGTGGGCACTTGGCTTGTTTCTACCTTCTGGTTATTATGAATAATTCTGCCATGAAAATTGCTCTTGAAATGCTGCTTTCATTTCTTCTGGGCACGCACGCACAAGTGGGATTGCTGGATCATGTGGTTAATTTCATTTTAACTTGTTGGGGAGCTGCTCTGCCATTTTCCTCACGTCATTCTTTTATATTACTCTCCAGTACTGTATTCCACTTGGCTTCCCTTGTGATCAGTGCTACAGAGTTGTTTATCATGATTGTTGAGCGCTCTTTGAGGTGCTGTAGGTGTGTTGCTTTTTTTGTTTGTTTTTGGTACCAGGGATTGAACTTGGGTCCTTGTACTTGCAAGGCAGGCAGTGGAACCACTGAGCTAAATCCCCGGCATAAGTGTGTTGCTCTTTGTTCTTTTTGTAGTGCTGGGGATCTAAACCAAGGCCTTCCATGCCGACCCTTACTGAATTTTTTTTTGAGATGCTAATTTGCTAAGTTGTCCAGGTTGGGCTCAAACGCTCCATCCTCCTGCCTCAGCTTCCCATAGCGGTGGGATTACAGGTGTGTGTTGCCTTTCTGAATCCTCTCAAAGGCCCTGTGAGTCACACACTAGGGTTATTTACATTTAATGGGAGAGGAAAATGGATTTGGGAGGTTAAACTGCTTGTCCTACGTGCTTGGTTCCAAGCCGAGCAGTTGGGTTGCAGCCTCCCTGCTTCTGCTGCTCTTGCTGGTGGAGCAACCACAGTGGGGTCCTAGTTCCCAGTCCCCTGGCTCCAGAAGCCCAGTCTCTGTCCCGGGGCTCCTGGTGCATAGCAGGTGTGCGGCAATGTTCTGGATTCTTCGTTCAGCTACTCTCTGTGAATCAACTGCAGGCTGTTTCCAGAAGAGAAGGGTCAGGGATTTCTTGTCACCAGTGGAGGCAGCTGATAGAAAAGGAATCCTGTAGAAACCATCTTTCTGTTTGTGAAAAAGGAAGAGAGAAACAGGGAGCCCAAGAAGCGGGGTGCACCGTATCCTCATTTGTATGAGGCGGGGATGAGTAACTCTCATTGAAGATGTAGCGACACCTCTAGGTGCCAGACTCCATAGCGACGTGGACAGGGCCACAGCGTCTGAACTCAAGGACTCCAGGTAGGGGAGCCTGGGAGGCGAAACACAGCAAGGAGAAAGTGTGTCACGTTCTCAGTCCAAGTCATCTGAGAGGATGCTCACACGTGTGTGCGAGCCAGTGTGGATTTCTGTGAGCGTGTGCTTGCTCTCTGAGTCTGTGTGCTTAGTCAGTGTTCGTATCCAGACAATTTTTCTAAAGGAGCAGATTGTATGAGTCATCTCTTGCCGCGTAACAAGTGACCCAAACAGAGTGGCTTAAATCCACACGAATTGTCATTTCAAGGTTCCTGGGAATGACGGCTTGGCTGAGCGCTGCTATTACACAGGCTGCCAGCAGGCTGGGCCCTCGCAGGGAGTCTCTGCCAGGGGGGATCCATTTCCAAGCTCACCCATGTGGCTGTTGGCAGAATTCTGTTCCTTGCAGGCCACCAGTGTGAGGCTGCCCTCCTCCGGGTCTCACAGGCCTCTCCGTGGGACAGCTCACACCCTGGCAGCTGCCCTCCACCCGACCAAGTGTGCTGGAGCCAGACAGTGAGCAGGATGGGCAAAGTCTGGTGGCCTGGTTTCCAATGGGCAGCTCATGGCCTCTGCTGTCCTTGATTTGTTACCAGCTCACATTCTGGAGGAGGGGTTTCCAGGAGGGTGTGAGTCTCAGGGCGGGGGATCTTCCAGGGACGCCTAGAGACTGCCCACTACGCTGAGACATTGGGCCAATATTTACAGGTGACCAGGAGATAATCAGGTGAAGAGAGGAGCAGGCAGAGAGGCCAAGAGAAGCTGGCAAGCACAGCACAGCCAGGGAAGAAAGCATGCTGTGTGAGAAGGACCGGGTGCCCCGTGGTTGCTGTGTGTGTGTGTGTGTGTGTGTGTGTGTGCGCAAAAACACACATTTGGTTACAGGAGACCAGAGAAGAGAGACAAACATGAGCCTGCATTTGCCCGGAAGGGGAGAACAGATGGCCCTGGGTGAGAGCAGAAACGTCTAGAAGCGACACAGTTGCCCCAGCACACCGTGGCTGGCAATGGGGCGGAGGCAGGGAAACGCTGTGGAGATGCCAGGAACCCTTGCAGGCGCTTCGGACGCGCTGGGCCCTGGCCGAGAAGCGCACATCTCCGCACCATTCGCTCCCGCCGCCCTGCAGCTCTTGGTCACAGCGGTCTCTCCGGTCAGTGCGAGCTGTGGCCCTGGCCCCATCGAGGGAGGCAGCGGGAAGCTGCTGAAGGGTCCTGGCAGTGACACGGGGGTCAGGGAACCCACATCTTCCTGCTCCGAATGTCTACGTCCCAGCCAGTGAGGCCCAGACGGGGCCAGGACAGCTGGATCGTGCGGCCGAGACCTGGGAATGCTCGGAGGAGTTGGAGTAAAGTCAGAGGCAGAAACCCCCAGCCCTCAGCCTCCCTCCACTGCAGTTTGTGAGGAGGCCGAGGGGCTGTGTGGCGGGGTCAGGGCCCCCGCACCGTCTTCCGGGGAGGGCAGCAGACTGAGCTCAGGCAGCCACTGATCAGGTCTGCCACCGCCTGTGGCCCCAAACGAGGGCCCCTTGGGAGGGCAGTGCTGCTCCTCCCTCATGACCAGCGTGGAGGAAAACGCTCTGCACTCAGCCCCACGCTGGCAGGTAAAGGAACTCTCTTGCCAGCCAGAAGCCTGAAAACGGTAACTGAAATATATTCTTCCTTCAGGCTCCTTCTCTTCGTATGGGAAAAGCTGAAGCTGTGTGATCAGCAATGCTCTGCTGGTTTGTGCCGTATCACAAGCCTGGACTTCCCCGGAACACCGGACACGGGCCTCCCAAAATCAGGACGCGAGCTGGGTGTGGCGGCACGCACCTGCAATCCCAGCACAGAGAGAGCGTTGACAGCTGCTGTCCCAGCCGAGGCGGGGAGGGAGGCAGTAACGCCGTAACGCCAAAGTGGGCCGTGGCCCAAGGTGGTTCCGTGTCAGCCGGGTACCGCGGGGCTCTGGGTGGGAGCTGCACGTGGGCCTTGCGCGGAGCTGGTCTCACTTTGAGGACCAGACGGGCACCTCCAGGTGAACTACTCACTGCCGCTGGACAGGAAGTGGGGCTCCCTTTAGGAAAAAGGCGATTTGCTAGAGGAGCGGGCAGGAAGGAGCCGTGAGAAGCCAAGTCTCACACAGCCACGGTAGGCAGGTGTGGGCACACCCGGTACGGGGTGCTGGCAGGCTCCCACGCCTGTGCTTCAGTCTGAAAAGGTGAAGCCACGGTGCCCTTGCTGCTATTTCTAAGCAGCCTTCTGTGGCCTCACAGCCTGTGGTGGGGGCAGGGGCTGGCCTATGACTCCTTTTCACATCCACGTCCCGGGCACAGCCAGGCAGCAGAAACGAGAAGGTTCCCGATCTTTTGCACAGTGCTTCCTATCTTTGGGCGCAAATAAAAGCAGCCGGAGCTTTGCCCATACAGAGGCCAGAGGGATGAAAGCCCTGGGCGTGGCGAAGTGAGAGAAATTGCTGTGAAAAGCGCTTTGCCATAAAGCAGGGGAAAGGATGTTACCGGACTGTCCCCGGGGAAGCGCGGGGCCTTGGCGACTCAGCAGAAGACTTTGCTGTGAGTAGGCTGCTGCTCCGCGCTGGAGGCTGAGCGGTTTCCGTTCAGATTTGCTGTAGCTCACTTCTGCCCTCGTAGATGAAGTGGGTGGGTGTTAGAGTTTGGCGGACAGAGTCTCTTTGGTTTAGGGATGTGATGGCCGTGAGTGAGACAGAAGTGTCTCGGAGCTGCGAGGGGAGGAGGAGGACCTGCGGAATCAGAGGAAAGACAGGGCGGAGAGAAGCTGCCTCTTGGAAGCTAGAGGCCGGAGCGGCACTTGGAGATCAGCCCGAGTAGCTTGGGAGCCGCGGATCCCTGCCCTTGGGGCGTGGAGGAGGCAGGGCAGTGTGGGGCCAATGCTTGGGATGGGAGCTGTCTGTAGACTCGTTTTTCTGTCTACTCATCCATTCACAGACCCACTTTCTAATGCCTCCTCTCATCCGCCTGCCCATCCATTCACCTCTGCATCCGTCTGTCCACCTGCCCATCCGTGCATCCATCCACCCACACACTCCTCACCATTTCCTACGTTCACACGGAACGAATTGAAATAGAACAAAAGGATGAAAGCCTCACACCTTACACACTTGTTTTGCTCCACAGGGAAAAAATTACTAGCATCTTTAATTGCTCCCAGAAATATTTTGTGTGTACAGAAGTTTTCCTGTATACCGAGTGGTAGCCAGCTGTTCTCTACTCTGTGCCTTGATCGCTTTGAATAGCTTACAAACACAAATTGCGTTTTTGTGGTAACTTTGGCAAGTGTCCCAAGTGTCCTGTGGGCCATGTGTGTTTTAGGAAGCTGGGCGAGGGTGGGTAGTCGTGGACCAGGCTTTGGGAAGTTCCCATGAGTGGCTTCACAGAAACCAAACATCTGTTTCTTCGCTTTGTGTCTGAGTAGAGACAAGTGGAGTTTGGTTTGTCTGCAGGGCTTGGGTTATAAATTGTTTTCTTTCCTCCTTCTCCAATCCCCAGTGTAAGTTAACGGGGTATTTTCCACTGATGTTGCTGAGTAACCAGTTTTTGGCGGTAGAACCATTAATGACTTACCTGTTGTTATTCCAACAGTGCTCATGCCTGGCAGTGAGAGAAGCCTTTTTTACCTTCATAGATGATCAAGTTTCATGTTCAATTCATCGCTTTCCTCAACGTTTATTTTGAAGCATTTCAAATCTCTTGAAAAGGTAAACAGTATAACACTACCCTTACAGCCTTCCTTTAGATTCACAAATTCTTGGCATTTAATATCTTTTGACATTTTTCCCCAAATATTTGAGAGTATATTGCAGACATTATGACCCTTTATCTATAAAATATATTAGCCTGCATCTCCTAAGAGCAAAGACCTCCTCTTACGTAACCACGTACCGTGATCACATTTAAACTTTTTTTTTTTTTTGCTACATGGGGATTGAACTTGGGACCTTGCACTTGAGAGTCAGGTGGCAGAACCACTGAGCTAAATCCCCAGCCCAAAATTGATTTTGATATAGTACTTTTATCTAATGTGAAGCCCATATTCGTATTTCCCCTATTATTTCACTATACTTCTTTGAAGCCGCATCTCTGCCCCCGTGACCCTGGACCTAATCCAAGTTCACCGCTGCATTGTATTTTTACATCCCTTAGGGTTATTCAATCTAGAAACCCACACTTCCCTCCTCTTGCCATTTTTAAATTGTTTGCCGATTTCTCATGGCATTGGCATTTTAAAGGACCCACCAGTTCCCTTCTAGAATGTCCAATAATTTTAGATTTGTCTGGTTATTTCCTTTTTGGCAAGTGTAGCCCACAAGATCTTTTTGATTTCCCCTTGCACACTGATTGATTAGTAATGATCTAGCTTTAGTGATCCATTTATTATTTGTTTGTTTGTTTGTTTGTTTGAGACAAGTTCTCACTGTGTAATTGAGACTGACCTGGACCTCACTATATAGCCCAGGCTGGTCTCGAACTTACAGCGATCCTCCTGCCTCAGCCTCCCAAGTGCTGGGATTACAGGCATGCGCCACCACGCCCAGCAATCCATTCATGTTTAAGGCAGTGTCTGCCACACGGCTCCATCTTAAAGGGACTTTTTCTCTCTTATAACCAATAAGTGAGGCTGTGTACCTCCTCTGTTTCCAACAGCTTTTCCCCAAGCCTTTTAGAACCTCTGCCCATCCCTTTCTGAACCAGTTGTTTTATGGGTGATAGCAATTTTCCAGTTCTGTGATTCATTCCCCGCTTCTTAGCCAGTACTCTTGCATAAAGAAAAGCTTCATCTTTCCAACCTCTCCTCTCCTTTAAACATTCTACTGTCTTACGATTTCTCCATGCTTTCCCAAGATTTGGCCAGTGGGAGCCCTGCAAGTTGCTTCTTTGACCCAGTGACTTGCTCCATTGGGTTCTGAGCACACAGCGTCGCTTCAGAGAGAATCTTTCTCCTTGTAGTGGGGATCTAGCATTTAGAAAGCGAGACCTGGGGGCTGGGCATAACTTCTTGATACCAGGTGTCATTACTTCTAGGTCTTTTGGGTGGAGAGCTGAGATATGCCTGCATCAGGCAATCAGGCACTCACAGTCACACCCCTGCGTGTTGCTGAGCACCCACTTAGTCCCTGAGGTCTTCTGCAGTATTTTTAGACACTTTTCCCCTCTATTCTTCAGATTGGATAATTCTTACTCATCTCTTGCCATTCCTGATTTATATCTTTATTTTCCCACATTGAGAATCTTTATTTCCAGTAAAATGAACATTTTTGCTCATTTAGTCTGTTGTACAACACACACAAAACACTTCCCCAATTCCTGTCCTGTACCACCATTGACAACAAATCTACTAAGTCGAGTTTAGCAACTATAAATACGTACACACTCGTGTGTACCCTAGCTTTCTACCCCCCAAGTTAGAAGCAATCTTAGCTCAAGTAAACTAAATTAATTTTTTCTTTTGTTGGTACTGGGGTTTGAATCCAAGGTCTTCCAGCTGATCTGTATCTCTAGCTTGTTTTAAAAGCTGTTGAGACAGGCAGGGTCTCTCTAAGTTTCTAAATTCCCCAGGCTGGGCTCTAACTTTTGATCCTTTTTCTTCAGCCTCCCCGAGTGCTGGGATTGCAGGAGTGCACCGCCACACTTGGTTCTGAAATCAATTACTGAATAAATTATTTTCTCTGTGGAGTAGCTTATTTATTTACTGTGTAGTTAGATCGATTTATTTCTACTTGTATTCAGTTTTTGGGCTTGCTTCTTTCTACCTCTCCTGATTTGGTTTACATGGTTTAAAAGCAAAACTACTTTAAAAAGGTGGACTCAGAGAAATCTCCTCCCATCTGCCCTTCTCACCCTACCATAGCTGTACACTCTCGCAAATACTTTCATTAGCTTTTGGTTTATTCCTCCTGTGCTTCATTTTTCAAACAAACTCATATAGGTGTGCACACACGCAAACCCACACACATGGGCACACACGCACAAACACACTACTGTTTGCACCTTGCTTTTCCCCCTTTCAGTATATTCTAGAAATAATTCCATATAAACGCACAGATATCTCCTTTATTCTTTGTTTGTTTGTTTATTTTTTGAGACAGGATCTTGCTATATTTTTCAGGATGGCCTTGAACTCACTGTATAGCCTAGGCTGGATTCAAATTCATGGCAACCTTCCTGCCTCAGCCTTCCAAGTGCTGGGAATATAGGAGTGGGCCCCTGTGCTGGCTTTTTGTTTCTTTTTAAAAATAGCTTCTTAATACTCCATTGTATGGCAGTACCACATTTTATTCATCTGGTTTCTCAGGGATTTAGCGTTTAGACACTTCCTCTCCTTCTCCCTCTCCCTCTCTCTCTCTCTCTCTCTCTCTCTCTCTCTCTCTCTCTCTCTCTCTCTCCTGAACTCAGGACTTTGCACTTGTGGGGTGGATGCAGTGCCACTGAGCTAAATCCCTGGCCGTGTTTCTCCTTTTTTGTTATTACTAATGATGCTGCAGTGAATATTCTTTTTCATTCTTTTTTCATACTTGTAGAGTTATATATGCAGGATAAACTTCTAAATGTAGGATTGGCAGGTCAGAGAGTAGCCAAATTTTCCTCCTTAGGCTGATGCCATTATCATTCCTACCAGAAATTTCTGGGGTGTCTGTTCCCTCAGCCTTCACAGCAAAGTTAAATATTAAACTTTTGAACTGCCCATCTAAGTGGGGAGAAATGACTCTTCAATGCTTTTTTTTTTTTTTTTTTTTTTT